CGACACCTAGCTTTACGCCGTAAGAATTAGAACACGACTAAGTAGAGGAAAGCCTTGGAGCTGGTGCATTTCCTTTTTCACTGAATTAGACCACATTTCACAGATAGGAACTACAATTTCTGGGCTAGTTTAAGAAAAAACGTAAGTGCCATTAGTTTCCGTATAGACATGGGTTTTTCTTTCACAAAAGGGCTAGACATTGTGGTTCCTAATTGCAAAATGAAGTACAGTTATACGACGGTGAAGAAAATGGTTTAGTACCTTATTCAAGAGCTATAGGTATATTTCAATCTTAGGGTTGCTAACGGTCAAATTTAACACGAGAGCAGTCACAAAATTCATCTCTGAGAGAAACTTATTCCACAGTGTTTCAGAAGATAATTTTGAAAACCTTCCCTCATACTAAAAAAAACTCTTTTCTGGGGGTGGTCAAGCCGACCCCAAAAAATATCCTGGCTGCGTCTGTAGCGAACGGTGAGAAATAAACAGTGGAAAACAGTTACAGGCTACATAGACACACCTCCGCTCCGGGCTCAGAAACCGAGCGTTCGGGTGCTGGAGCCGTAGTTTCGATTGCTACGGCGCCTCTGAGCCCGAAACGCGAACGGTATGTCTATATAGCCCGTAAGTACTGCTTCCGCAACCGGGGTGTTTTTTCAGTCTATGGATAATACTGCCGTGCTAAGGAAGAACGCCGTATGAACATTCGAGAGTTCCCATATTTTCCTCGATAAAACATGTATTTTTGACGACATTTATACATGTTTTCCCTTGAAAGTTTTGGATGTTTTAGATTAGATTGCGTACAAAATTGTCTGAAAATTTTGGAAAATAATATTCACAATTTTCCCGGTAAATTCGGTATTTATCGAAGGAAACTTGACAACGTCTGAAGGCTAATACGGCGTTTTTCCTTAGCGCGGCAGAATAGCCCGGGGTTTTTTTCAGTCTATGGATAATAGCCCGGAGTTTTTTTCCGGTAAAGTAAGTTGGATTGGAGGACTTACCGGCAGTGTCTTCGGTGTCTGTATCGGCTGTGTCTCCGAGGGGGGAATCGGCGAGATTCTCGTAGCTGTCCCACCTGGTGACCGGATCCGTGGACAAGTCAACAGGGACCGCGGGGGTCGGGGCTGGCGCCGGGAGACGCACCGATTCGGGGGTCGCCGAAAAGTGGAGCTCCACTGCACCGTCCAGCGGAAACCTCAAATCTGGAAACCAAGAGTGCACTTTGTCACAAATATCCCATTTCAATTTTCAAATCGAATTAAATCCCACACAGAAGAAAATAGATGATGCTGACGACAGAGCCTTCTGTTCATAGGGCTCCAGCTCTTGCAGTTTTTTTGTTACACTTACAGAATTTTTCTGTTGTGAGAACAGAACTTCGGTCGTGGGAACAGAGTACTCTGTCCTCATGCCGGAGGCTTCTGTGACTGTTACAAAAGAAGTGCAGGAGCCCTGTGAATAGAACTATTTTGTTCAGTGCACGTTTTGTAAAGAGGAAGAATCTCAAAGCAATCATAAGAAGTATAATGAAAAAAATGGTACGCTGTTTTAGCACGTAGGATCTCAAAAACGTGTCTGTTGATCCAAAGCTGCCTTGACTGCTAACACAGTTACATTTGCATTCACAAATTTTAAAAGCAACTGCGTGGGCAGGAAATGCAGCATCTTCAGATCATCTGACACATTTTTGACATCCTAGAAGCTGAAACTGCATACCATGTTTTTCAGTAGTTTAATTTTTGGTCAGAGTGCTGTAAATTTGGGTTGTTCATATTATTAAAAAATGTTCACACATTGTTTGCTGACACATTTTGGGTTCATATTAATCCACAGAGCGCACTAAAATGGTGATCAGTATACAAATCACTAAATAAGTTGAGGGGAAAATATATTAATTTAAAAAAATATATGAATCTCGAAGGTTATAGATATAGAACTTGTAACGATATCATTAGGTACCAACATTAGTTGAAAATTTGATGGCCAAAGTGCGAAACCTCGTAGCTTCATTGCGGTGTATCGAAAATTTTGCTCCAGTTTTATTTTTTCGAGGAGAAACAAGCCAACTTCATACTTCATTTATTCAGAATTTCGTGCTGATGGAGATGGAAAATCAAGGAAGTTTTAAAAAAATGCGTCATAGTATTCCAAAGAAAATATAAAGTATGACAGAAAGTCTGCAACGTCGCAAACGGAGATACATAGTTTTGTGCTTTGTCCATCGGCTTCTATATCTAACTTTGAGATTCATATATTTTTTAAATAGTTTTCTTAAATTACGTGCGAAAAAAGGTTCTCTGAGTTTTTCCGTGTTACTGAAAAAATAGAATTTAGATCTTTCTGTGTGGTTGAAGAAAGTTTTTAGAGATAATTCTGGCTCACTTTGACCAGTTAACGAAACCTTGAGCTTTGATAAAATAACAACTTAACATGGGGAAAGGCTGCAAAAGGAGGACAAATCAAAAGCAAAACACGGTTGATAATGAAATTTTAATTATTTCGAAACGTTCCGGGTTTTACTTTTGATTTGTCCCCCTTTTGCAGCCTTTCCCCGAATTAAGTTATTATTTTAGTATGCGTTTTGGCTAATTAAGTTGTTTCTTCCTTCAGCCTTAAGTTCATGGTCACTCGGCTAGTTGCGAAACATGCTGTGGGGCAAATTGGCAACAATCCTGCAGTTACTGCTCAAGTATGGAAAAATCAGGCTATTCGAACCAAAAAAATTTAATCTATGCTAAACTAAAATTTAATGAATGAAATAAATGGAATTTCACAAATGATGCGAGAGAGGACACGAACGATGATGAAAGTGCACGCATTTCAGCGAAGGTCGATAACTCACCGTGACAGGCTGAATCTAATTCTTGACGAGTAAAGCTAACAGTGTAGTCCGTTATAGCACAGGTATGAAATTGGCACGAGAAAATTTGCTCTCTGAGCGGCGGCAGAGGTTCGCTTGCGTTGCTGCTGCACCTTGTCGGGCTGTCGGCTGTGCCGCTGTCTCGCTGGTTGCCAGAATAATGTCTGCAAAATGCAAGCCTCCAATTAATCTTGCGAGCCATCTCACCTTAGAAAAATCCCAAGCATCACCCGTTTGACGATCGGCAAATGCGCGCGCTCCAATTGACATCCCTAATTGCGCCACCGAGAATCCCGAATTCGAGACCCGAGATCAACAGAGCTGACGCTAAACTTACGGAGGAATTTGAGGCAGTTTTTGCTCGTCCTTTCAAGAAGGCGGACAGTCAAACAGTTAAAGAGAAAAGGAGATTTCCCTTATTCACACGCTGAAAATGGGTCTTATTTCTTATTTAAATTGATTGAATTATATACTTGTTATAATTGATTGGTTGAAATTAAATGTCTGCAAAATGCAAGCCTCCAATTAATCTTGAGAGCCATCTCACCATAGAAAAATCCCAAGCATCACCCGTTTGACGATCGGCAAATGCGCTCGCTCCAATTGACATCCCTAATTGCGCCACCGAGAATCCCGAATTCGAGACCCAAGACCAACAGAGCTGACGCTAAACTTACGGAGGAATTTGAGGCAGTTTCTGCTCGTCCTTCCAAGAAGGTGCACAGTCAAACAGTTAAAGAGAAAAGGAGATTTCCCTCATTCACACGCTGAAAATGGGAGTTGCTAGTCGCCGCTCGGTGCATCGCCACACACTGGACCGAATCATAGGAGAGGTCGGACAAAATTTTGAAACTTCAAACGCTTGCAACTTTGCTTATGCAAAACTTTGAGCTTCTAAAAGTGGTCCCATTGGTTTCCTCCTTAAATTTTCTTCTGGAAGCACCCCTTAAAATTTAAAATTTGACGAAATTAACAGTCAAATTTGCAGTTTTGGTAGAAAAATTCATGTCCGACCTCTCTAATTTACTCGATCCACTATGCGCCGGTCGCAATATCGTAAAATTCACACAAAGTAACGAACTTGCACAAAAAATTCAATTTTTAAGGAGAATAATTTCTGTTTAAAGGTTTGCTAATTTTAGCGAAAAATCAAAAGAAAAATCAGTAAATTTCAACTGGAAACGGCCAATAGTTTCCTTGTAAAAATAAAACTTGTGATTCTAAATTTTGCGACATTGGAATGGAGTTACGTTCTTTCGTCAAGAAAACGACGAGTTACGTGGTATACGAATTATAATGTACTATGATGCTAGGGCATGTTTATCGGCACTCTAACACTCCATGACTGGTTCTTCGAAGAGTGTGTAGAGGAGAATCAACCGTCTATAAATTCAAATATTATACAGTGTCTGCAGCTTCAAATTCGTGTCCGGCACTCAAAAAGACATTACTAGCATTGGAATTCAATCCTTTTCGTCATTCATAGGAGAAGTCACTAGAGTGGCGAGTTGAATTTTATGAGATCACAGCTCAATGTAATGCATTCTCATGCTTGATTTCTCACACTGCCCAGTGATCCATTTCTAGCCGATTTCTAAGCATCGACATAGCCACAGTCTAGGCCGTAATTGTGATCGTTCCGGACCTAATTCACTTTCTTTCCATAGGAATGGCTCATCTTTTGAGATTACGGGAGGTTTCGGAAGGCTTCAGACATAGCACAATAAAAGAGCAATTTTGACGAATTTCGACTGAAATTCTTCATGTTTGAATAGATCTTGTTAGTTTATCATCTAAAAGCTAAAGCCATCATAACACGATTCTATGACTACAGCAACTGACCCATTCTGGTCGAAGTTTTTAAAAAGTTCCAAATTTTTTAATGGCTTGTCAAACATCTCCTCCAGCCTCCCATGGTTGTCAAATGAACCACGTGGGATGGGGCGGTGAAGTCAGGAGCTCTGCCGTGCTAAGGAAAAACGCCGTATGGGCCTTCAGGCGTTGCCAAATTTCCTATGGCAAATCACTAATTTTTAGGAAAATTTTTGAATATTTTGCTACCGATTTCATAGATAACATTGTTTATAATTTGATCTAAAACGTTTAAAAATTTCAAGGAAAAATATTCATGATTTTTCCCAAAAATTAACATTTTATCGAAATAAATTTGGCAACTCTCGAATGTTCATACGGCGTTTTTCCTTAGCAAGGCACACTGGGAAAAAAAACACATTGGATATAGAGTCCAGACTCTTGAAAACATTGACAAGTAAAAGGACTCTTGATTCAATCAGATTTTTGCTTGGATCAAAAGGAAATCCGCTCAAATTAAGAGGCTTGGTTCTTGATTTAAGCTTAAATCTGATTGAATCAGGAGTATTTTTTCTTGTCGATGTTTTTAAGAGTCCGGACTCTAGATCCAATGTGTTTTTTTTCCAGTGCAGAGCTATTCAAGGAATAATTTTGGGCAAGAGCCCAAGAAAAGCCTTGGCCATGGTGGAAAGTATTGATACTTGCCTATGATAGCACTTGAGTAGGATGTCTCCCCTGAGCTGAAGGCCTCGCCGCTGGCGTTCGGCGGCGACGTTGACAGTGAACTGTTTGGTGTCCCCGGTGACGGTGTAGACGCCCGAGGTGTAGACGGGGACCAGCCCCTCGTAGACCTTGAGAAATGCCCGGCACCCGCCACCCATGCCGGGCTCGAAAGCCGGCGCCCCCAGCACCGTCACGTGCGTCAGGAACAGCGGCGCGGAGTTCACTCGGATGTTCGCAGATAAGAGACCGGCCATGTAGTCCACGTACCTGAGGCAAAAAAATATACAAATACTTAATTCAACGATTTTTGAAGCGTTTAAAGCCCAATTCATACTATCAAACTTTTCGTCCGACATGATTGAACGAAAAGTTGGATGGAGAGTTGGACGCAAAAAAATGTGATTCAATTACCGTTGCAGTGTGATATCGTCATAAGGCTGCGGTTTGCGAAGATACAGCTTCGGCTCATGTCGGTCGGA